TTAAGGAAAGCATGATTGATGTCAATCTATTGAAGATCCCACTTATTGGTCAAGGTGAGAGTGAGGATAAGTCTGATTGTGGTAGGCTTCACAACTAGAGAAAAGTTTCACTAATATCAAACCCAAATTTCTGATGATAACCTTTGGCTATAAGCCTGACTTTGTATTTATTAACAACCCCATCAGGGTTCTCCTTTACCTTGAAGACCCATTTCCACCAAATGATTTTCTGTGTAGTGGAAAAGTGGTAAAACTTCAAGTTTGGTTGGCTAATATTTCATCATATTCTATCCGTATAGCTTGGTGCAACCCAAGTTGGGAAATATCTTGCTTGACATTGTGATGTTCCACATGTGTCAAGAAGGTTTTTGGTTTGAATGGCCAGTTTTGGCTATTGTCAACATATGATGATTATTCATATGCAAGATTTCTGGATGTTTGGAACTATGTATGGATGGTGAGAGAGACTCCTAAAACTAGTTGGTACTAGTAGGGACCTGTGTTATGACCACTGGTTGGTGGTATAGAGGAAGTCTTATCCAGAGCTGGACTTTCATGGTCAATATGGGAATGAATTAACAAAGGATTAGACTGAGACAATTGAGTAGGACTCCAAGAGGTACTCTGTGGTAGGTTATGTTCATGGTTAAGGTCTGCACTAGGATTTGATCTATCATTTTGAGACTGAATAAATGTCAAACTGTCCTGTACAATTTTAGGAAAAGACACAATGTCCATTGGTGTTGCGATAATTGTATTGAATGTGTGATGGGAAGAAATTGAGGAAAAGTAAGAGACTTGGATTGATAGTTAGACTGACATGGAAAGATAATGTTAGATTGAAACATAGCAAGAAATGGGAAGTGGTACTCATTAAACACCACATCTTTGGAGGCAAACCCTTTACCAAATTTAAAGAGACACTTAAAACCTTTCTAAGATGATACTTCTAGATACACACACTCTTGACTCATAAACTCTAGTTTGTGCTTGTTATAGGGTATTGTAAAGGGAAAACATGCACATCCAAACACCTTGATAGACTTATATCTAGGTAACTTGTGATACAAGGCATGTTAGGGAGAATTGAACTTGGTAAAGTCAGAAGTTGAAAGCCTGTCGACGACGTGCACAAAAGTGGCAAAACTGTGGTCCTAGAATTTGAAAGGAATGGATCAATGAGATAATATGGTAATCCCCATATCTATAATATGTTTATGTTTCCTTTAAATATTCCCCTTTGGACGAGAGATGTGAGGGAAATTCAGTCTATGTGAGATACTTTACTCATATAGGCATTTATTGAAGGGTCTAAATTCTCCCTCATAATCTGATTGTAATGGCTTGATAGTGGCATGAAATTGAGTTTTGACAAATCTAAGAAAGAGTTTGAAGGCATGTAAAGCATCTGACTTCTCTTCCAAGAAATAGATCCAAGTATTTAGTATAAGCCTCTACAAAGGCAACATAATAATAAAAACTAGAATTGGAGGGGTGAGGTGCAAATCCCTAAAGATCAGCGTGAACAACTTCAAAAGGGGTATTATACATAGTAGATGATAAAGAAGCATGTATTCTATGATATTTTCCCAAACAAAAGGATTTACAAAACACATTGTTTCTTTTTATTGGACACATTAATGTTATAATTTTTTAAAGCAATCTTAATAGTAGGAAATTGAGTTTGACTAAGCCTATAGTGCCACAAGGAGTTAGTGCTAGGATGATTTACATCAGTAACAACAAAATAAGAAATTGAATTAACTGTTGTTCTAAATGGAAGGGAACCACTATACCTATGATACTCAGAGATGATGTCTTTGAAGGCTCCACTAGCAATTATGAGAAGCAATACAAGCCATTTGAGTCAAGGTAGCGTTCAATAATTGTAACCTTAAAAACCTGAGATTTAATATAACACTTATCAACAAGAAATTAAAGCATATCCTTATTATCTTCAGAGAATTTAAAGTCTGGTAACATATTTCTTGTTATGCAAGGAACATAAAGAATTTCATTAAGAACAAGTGAGGTGGCACGGCTAAACTTGGAAACCACAAAGGAGGAACCTGCATAGTTAATGGCTAAAGACTTACTATTGGCTACACACACACGCGCGCACACACACTCAAGATTATGACCTTCATAAGGTTTCTTGGTGTGCAAGAAATGAGAATGAGGAGTAAGATGATGAGTTACACCTAAATCAACAAACTATACTTATTTTTCAACTTCCTCTGATAGAGAATACTCATGTGTAGTGGACATCATTACTATGGCTTGAGATTCTGAAGTAGATGATTCATGTTTGACGGTAGAAGCCCCTGGAAACTATGTCAAATTGGATTTGAGCAGGTGTAGTTATGAAGATCTCATTAAACATGTACCAACACTCAAGAACATCATGTCCATATTTCCCACACAACTGACATGTAGGTCAATTTCCAAATGAAAAACGACCTCTACAATGAGTCATGCATCCTCTGCCTCGATTGCTTGC